GTCTGCGCCTGCGCGCCCCGCGCCCCGCAGCGAGAGGCGCGGCCGGAGGGCGCGGAGACGCGCCGTTGCCATGGCAGCAGGTCCCGGACGCCTTGGTAGCAGGTGCTGGGGTCTCCCTCGCCTCGTGCTGGGGCTTGGAGAGGGGAGGAGAGGAGAGCGCCCGCCGCCTCTGTGACCTCAGCCGCTGCATCTCACACAGGCAGGAGGGGCTGCGGAGGGACAGGGCAGGATGGTGCGGGCCTGTTTATGGGGGAGCGAGGGAAAAGGGGAACCCTCGGGGGCAGGCGGGGAGAAAGGTGAGTGGAAGGCAAGAGGGAAGAGCCTTCCTGTTGGCGCCACGTCCTTCCGAGTCGCGGGGCCACGGCGCCTGGCAGCGCCTGGCGTGGCTCTGTGTGTCTGTCATTATTGTCACAGCCTCTCGCCCGTCCTCGGCCGCCTCCCTCGGACAGAAAACGCCTCCTGAGACGTTAGCTTCCTTCCAGAAGAGGCTGAGGCCTTCGCTGAGTCGGCGGTGCCTTGGACACAAGTGAAAACGATCGCCTGGTGTTTGTCAGCTGTTATTTATCGTCATGCTTGGTGACAGATTATGGTTTTTTCTTTATTTTTCATGTTGACACCATTACAGGTGTCCCATCCCCGCCTCCCCCAGCCCCGACCCCCCTTCCCTCTGGCCGTCACCGCACTGCTGTGTCCCTGGGCTAGGCTTAGGCTCTTTGGCTAATCCCGTCACCTTCTTTCATTCCTGGCGGTCGCAGTCCTGGCCGTCACAGCCCTGGCAGGATGCAGCAGGAAGAATGGGCCAGGTGGTCTCAGGATGTTACTATGGGTTCGATGTTGCTTAAACACTTGCTTTATCCTAAAAGGTGTTCTCTTTGACATTTTTTTTTTTTCAAATTTCTTAGATTGTAAGCAAGCATATGCTTAAAAGGCAATGAGATAAGGCCAGGGTCAATGAATTAGATGAAGCTGTATTTGAAAGTTCTGAATCCTTCCTGAAAGTTATCGAAATTGTGTATACTTCTGGGCTCAGGCTCAACACTAAAAAGATCTGCCGTCGCACACCCACGTGGGAGTTAGCAGACACCCAGCGGGGAGGAATTCATTTCTGTCTCTTACTACAGTTCCTTATTAAGGAGGTGGTTCTGGTACATAGATTTTTACTGAGGATAAACATGGAAATTTAAATGTGTGAAACTCACAAGAGAGAAGTGCAAGGTGATCTGTTTGGTAGGAGTATTTTTGTTGGAGCATGTTGACTGTGTACCATATGGCCGGTACCCTGGGGATGAAGATTGAAGAACTGAAGGGGATTGAATATCCTGTGACGCACTTGAGAAAGGCTTAGGGGACTTGGCAACAAAAGTTTATGATTTATGTTCTTTGTTTACTTGGGAACCAGCCATGAGCTTTTTGAAGTTATAGGAAAAAATGGCAACTAATTCAACACAACTTTTCATTTCCTTCTCAGTCCCAAGTATGGCACATAGAAGGATTTAATAACACCTAGTATATTTAATTTGTAATGATTTCATTTTTATTTATTATGCTTATGCTGTGTTTTGGTTTTAAACTTGAGTTTTCACATGGGTGAGCTTCTTTGTAATAATAAAGCATATCTGTTAAAAGTATTCAGGCAACCATTTATTTACAAGTCCCACTATGTATATTACAGAATTAAGGGAAAGCACTGAAGAGTTCCATAGAAGTCTTATTTTAACAGTTAGTTATGTAACATAAACATCTTAAAATAGTACATTTCAAGATCCCTGGTCTGAAAAGAAAGCTGATGATCCTAAGGCATTTGTGACTGTGAAAAATAGAATTATTTATGTATTTTGGATCACACTGAGTTTTAGTTTATTCTACATGATTCATGGTACCCTTATTTTAATTGGTAGGTAAGTAGATGTAACAGTTGGTGTGATTTAGCCTGTCTTGCAGGTAGGCAGTGGTAAATAAACTTACTCTGAAATACTGATTTCGTTTCTCCAGGTCACCTCACAGTGTTATTGCTCTCAGCCTCTGATTTACAAGTTATTGAAGCTTTACTCTGAGTTCTTTAAGAAAGCCCATTTCGTAATCTTAATTTAAAAGAAATATCTAGAAGGAATTACAGCCCAACTAATATATTAGAAATAGTTATAACTAGCCAGTTGAATAATTGACATTTCAGTGTACCTAAAACTAACTTTCTCGTGAGGGGAAACCAATATCAAGAACTAGCCAAAGGAAATATGACAAATGAGACAGATTTCACAATGTTTTTATATCTTGAACTTAGTTATTCAGACACTGATTATTTTATTTTTGTAATATATATATGTATATATACTTAATTTTTTCATTTATAGTTTACATTCGATATTTTGTATTAGTTTCAGGTGTACAGCATAGTGGTTAGACAATCATATACTTTACAAAGTGATCCCCGTGACATTTCAGGTACCCAGCTGGCACCATACATAGTTATTAACTGTTATTGACAGTGTTTCCTATGCTGTACGTTCTATCCCCGTGACTATTTTGTAACTACTAATCTATACTTCTTTTTCTTTTCCTTGAGTTTTTTCTTGTTTTTGCTCAATCCCTCACCCCGTCCACCCAGCTCCCCCACGCCCGCCCCCCCTCCCC